AAAAATAAAAAACTGTATATTAGAAAAAAAAAACTGAAATATATCTATATATGTAAAATGTTGAAGCACATGATTAGCCATTAAAGAATTATATATATAACATAGATATCTACATATGGGAAGGTTCTAGAATGTAAATTAAATTGGACCACTTTAAAGTTCTCATTTGAGGGAAGGGGAGATAGCTCAGTGGCATAAGCACCTGCCTGGCAAGTGTAAGGTCATGAGCTTGATACCTAGTACTAAAAAAAGAAAAAGTTCTCAGTTCAAGATCCAGGGTTTGTATATTCATTAAAATGGAGATTTTGTTTCTATTTGGGAGTTGATATTAGTAATAAGATATGATCTAAAATTTCAGTTATTAAATGTTTGTGGTAACTGTAGCTAACAAATCAAAAGATTATGTCAAATTATTTAATGTGTTATTACTTAGAATTTGATAATGGAAATAGATTTTGAAAGATTACCAGAAGACATTTCACTGACTCTCAGTGTCTTTTGGGTCACAATCTTCCTCATCTTGACTCTCTCCTAACCACTTTTCAACCCCTTTAGTCCTTTCAAAGTCCTCTTTACTACCTAGTTCTATAAAATAGCTATTTACCATATGAACAAAAGGGAATTTGTTCTAAGTCTTTCTTTTCAAGGGAACTATACTTCTTTGTGGAACCAAACACTATTGATTCATGCAGCAAATATTTATGGAGGGCTCAGTATGTCCTAGGCACTCCTCCAGGATCTTGGGGCCCATGAGTGAATAAAATAGACAAAATTACAGAGTGAGCACTGTCTAGGCTCACCTCTTGTGCCCTTCTTATGACTCTAAGGTGGGTTCTGTAGGACCCCTTAAAGCTCTGTTGTTCTGTGTGGTAGCTAATAGCTACATGTTTACATTAATTAAAATTAATTAAATTAAAATTAAGTTCCTCCATTATACTAACTGTGTATCATTTGTTCCCTAACCATTTATTACTACTGTAGAGCCACTGAGTAGTTTTATAAGTTTCCTGTCGTCACAGAAGGTAGACTGATACCTCAAAGGGTGCTTGTAGGATCAGTCCTAATTGCTCGCAGCGACACCAGTGCAACCAGTTTACTAATGTACACTTATACTATTTTTTTCCATTTCTTCTTTTACCTGTCTATGTTTTACCCTTCCTAGTCTTTCTTCCTTCTGTGTTTTACCCTTCCTAACTCCCTACTTCTACCCCAAACAAATTACCTATATGCAAATTTTTGTTCTAGACTCTGCATCTTACAGAAAATCCAATATAGAGAAGCAATTCTTGTGGTCCCTCAAGTTTATGATTACCATAAACTATTAATTTATGAAGGTTTTTCTGATATTATCAGTGAAGTTAATATCATTTTTATATTAGATGTACCCATCAAGTTGTAAGAAGCTATAAATTTCAGAAATATAGAAATCTTACTGAAGTATCCTAGCTCATAACTACTTTTATTTATTTATTTATTTCATGGTACCAAGGATAGAACTCAAGACTTTGCACTTGCCAGGCAAGCACTTAGTCCACTGAGCTATCTCCCCTACCTCTTTTGTTTTTTTGAGAGTCTCCTTATGCGGTTTAGGCTGGCCTTGAGCTCACTTTGTAACCCAGGCTGGTCTCAAAGTCACAGTGATCCTCCTGCCTCAACCTCCTGAGTGCTAGGATTACAGTGTGAGCCACCATGGCCAGTTAAATTTTTATTTAATGTCATAGTCTTTGGTAAAAACAAAAAATAAGCAGGTACATGCCTGTAATTCCAGCACTCTGAGAGGCCAAGGCAGGAAGATTGAAAATTTGAGTCCAGCCCTGAGCAATTTAGCAAAATGCTGTCCCCACCCCCTAAATGTAGTTCATGATGAAGACCCTGAATTTAATTCCCTTTACTGCTAAAAGAAAGAAAGGAAGAGGTTTTTAGTGGATATTTTATGATATTTTAATCAGTGGTATCTTTGGGAATAGTCTCTTGGATTTTAATTAAATGATAAATACCAAGTATCAGTTCAAGGGAATAGTGAGGTTAGTTCAAGTTTGGTATATTGTACTGTGGCTTCTATAAATAAGTCATACTGTTTGACTGCCATTAACCTAGCTCATTTATAATCCACCCATAAGTATAGTATTCTTAAGGCTTGGCTTTGGGCCGGTCTTCTCATGTTAAAATGAAGGGAGGAGAGGAAAATTGTAAAATAGGAATATGCTGCTTTAATTATTTATCAGCTATAATAATGCCTCTATGCATTTAACGTAGTTTTTTTTTTTTTTTATAATCTAAGACTTATTGCCATAAGTGGTACTTCTATGACTTTTGAAAAAAAAAATCTTTCAATCTGAGTAAATAATAGGTCAGTAACAACTAAGAAGTCTACCTGTTGTTTTTGTTGACACTCTGCCAGGTGGGAGATTAGTATGCCTCCACCAATGAGTAATTGTAAATAAAGTAATATTTAAATTAGAGCTATTCAAATTTAATTCCTATTAAATGTTTTCTGAAAACTAGAGAATTATGAGGGATTATACACAAAGGAAGATGGGTATAAATAAAGCTAAAGCCTCCATATATATTTGATTCATGCTTGAGCCATACCTGGTACTCATAAATCAGTCCAGGATTGTAAGGGTAGATGTTGACTTGGATTTGCAACCCAGAGGTGGATAAAATACATTTACAACTCTGATATGGTTAAAATACATTTCAGGATAGACTGAGCATTAGTTGAGGGGGAATAGATGTAAAATCTGAGTTTGCCAAGAAAGAAGTGAATGAAGGATAAAATCGTGGGAGAAGTTCACATAAATTCAACAAGAGCTTCTCTTAGAAACAAAAGGAGGGAGTTTCTAGGAGTATGGTATGTTTGAATTATTGATTATTCCTTCCAATATAACCTCTCAATTATTATAGAGAATCTAGAGTTGATGACCTTCTACTTTATACTCCTGTGATTATTACTGAGCAAATAATGACAAATTTGCTTATCTTATAATTTTAGTTCCTCGGAGAAGAGGAAGAAGCTGCTTAGTTACATTCAACAATTGACTCAAACTCAGGTTGAGATGAAGGTAAGAAGAATCTAAATTATCATAATTTTATTTTATTTTATTTTTTGTATTTAGTGAAGGGTCTACAGGGTCTGGTCTGTAGGGTCTCGCTACAAATCCGACTTGTAGTGTTTCTCCTGTTTTCAGCTTCCCAAGCACTGGGATTACAGGCATGAGTTACCACACCCAGTCTCAATGGCCATCACAGCATGCCCCGGGGGCAGGGTCTGCCCAGCTTCTTTTATACCTCTCCTGTATTTCTTTTTCCTTGATAATATTACCTTGACTTTGTGTTTTTGGTTTTTTTTTTTTTTTTTTTTGGGGAACCGGGGATTGAACCGTTTGCCGGTCAAGCACTTATCCTACTGAGCCATCTCCCCGGCCCCTTACCTTGACTTTGGTGTTTAACATTTTCATTAATTTTTAGAAATTTAACTATATATAACTATATATTTTAGTTATGTAAAGTTTAGCATTTTTATTGTTGTTACTGGAAATCAAACTCAAGACCTCGCACTTGCCAGGTAGACACTATGCCACTGAGATATAGCCCCAGCCAATCCATAATTTTTAAATAAAAACCCTACAACATGTGTTGTGATCCAGTAATAACATAAGAACATTAAAACTATGTTGCCAAGTGTGGATACCCATGCTTATAATCCCAGCACTTGAGAGGCTAAGGCAAAAGAATCCATGTGCATTTGAGGTCAGACTGGGCCACAAAGTGCATTCAGGGCCAGCCTGCTTAGAGAAACCATGTCTCAAAAAAGAAGGAAGGAGGAAGGGAGGAAGGGAGGGAGGGAGGGAGGGAGGGAGGGAGGGCAGAAAGGAAGGAAGGAAGGAAAGAAGGAAGGAAGAAAAAGTTCCAAGGCTCCATGCTGCATGAAACCTTAGCCACTTGAGTGCTGGGATTATAATGTAGGCATGCACTACTATGCTCAACCAAAATTTCACTACATATTTATGTCTATAAACAGTCTTAGTACTAACAATCTAGTAATATTTGTTTATTCTTCCTCCCCCACTCTTATTGAGACATGAAAAGTCTTGTTTTGCTCCCAAGTATGGAGGAGCCAACTTTGCATACACCTATAATCCCAGCTAATACAAAGACTGAGGCAGAAAGATTGCAAGTTTGAGGCCAGCCTGAGCAACTTCACAAGACGCTGTCTCAAAATTAGAAAAACAAGATAAACAAGGGCTGGTACCACATACACCTCAGCACTAGAACACGTGCCTAGCAGGTGTAAAGGCCTGGGTTTGATCCCCAGTACCCCCACACCCTTCCAAAAGCCCTGCTTTTCAGATTTCAGTGTCTGCAGGACCATGTGAACATTCAACTATCCAAGCCCCATCCTAGAAATTCTGACTCTGGACGTTTATACAGAACTTCTGAAATGTGCATTTTCTACAAGCTCTGCAGCTTTACCATACTTAAAGAAATTGTTTCCTGTTTGATTGGTGACAGCAGATATATCTTGTTGCTCACCTATTTTATGTCCCTGGGACAAAACAACAAAACTGAGTTTTGATCTAGAAGAAGGTGTGGTAATCTCATTTTCCTTTCTCTTGGTTTAGTTGTTTAGCTGGTGACACTAAAGTAATTTAAGGTACTGATTTTATTTTTACACCGTGACTCACTGACTAACATACTTTAAAACTTCAAAATTTGTTTGCAACAACTGAAACTGTATAAAGAATAGTTTATGTTAAGTAATACTGCAAATAAGAACAGGTTTAAGGGCCAGCCTGATAGCTCAGTGGACTAAAGCCCCTACTTAGGCAGAGCATAGCATCTGGGGTTCGATCGATCTCCGGGGTGTCATGCCGGCCCCACCTGCGGGGCATGCTGAAACGGGTGATTGAGACAGGGTGATTGAGACTGGGCATGGTGGCGCACGCCTGTAATCCCAGCACTTGGGAGGCTGAAAACAGAAGAATCAGTATGAGTCTGTCTGATCTACGTAGTGAGACCCTGTAGACCCTGTCCTAAATACAGGAAAAAAAAAAAAAAAAGCTTTAGTTATCCCTGTTCAGTTTAGTATCAAAACACCTTAATAGGGTCGGGAAGATGGGTCAGTAGAATAAGCACTTCCCTGGCAAGCGCAAGGGCCTGAGTTCTAATCCCCATTCTGCCAAAACAAAAAAACACCTTAATGTCACAATGTACTCTATACACATAAGGTGGGAAGAGAATCAAATAATGTAGCAACAATATGTCCAACAACTCCATGCCTACCTTTAGGGGAGATGGTTTATTGGCGAGGCATGGTAACATGTATACAATCCCTGCACTCAGTAGACAGAGGCAAAAGGATTGCTATAAACTTGAGGTGAGCCTGGGCTGCACAGTCAGTTCAAGGACAGCCTGAGCTACATAGCAAGATAGTGTCTAAAAACAAAAGGTGGGGCTGGAGTGATAGCTCAGTGGCATAAGCACCTGTCTGGCAATCTCAGGTCCAGAATTTGATCTCTGGTACCTAAAAAAAAAAGTTGATAAATGAAATGGAGCAATTAAAATAATTATCAAGGATGTAAAAACATCAGAGGGCTGGGGATATAGCTTAGCTGCACAAGTGCCTGCCTGCCAAAGGCAAGTTCCTGAGTTCAATTCCCAGTACCAAAAAATCACTGCATCAGAATGTGTCCACTGTTACATTTTGATAAGAAAAGGGAAATACACTGTGCACCTATATATTTTATTAACAAAGGTAAAAGTTCATTGTTTTTATAAAATGCCTTAAATTTATTTCATTTTTAACATATTTAAGGGGAAAAATTATTTTAGGAATAGTCATTAGGTTTTAGGTCTGGTTTAAAATAAACCAGGTTTTAGGTCTGGTTTAAAATAAGTTATAAGGGGCTGGTGAGATGGCTCAGTGGTCTAAAGCACCTACTTAGAAAAAGCTAAGCCAAGCAAAGCACAGGGACCTCGGTTCAATCCCCCAGCCCACATGCCAGCCAGCCCCGCCCCCTGGTGGGCTGAGCTGGCCACACACACACA